ATCCTCCACATTCAAAGGTCCCAAAGAAATAAGCATTAATTTGGCAATCAATATCAGTCAAACATCATCTTCATAAATATCCGTAATAAGTACCAACGACTACCCGTGAAGTGATTGATAAACTGTTCTTGGTTCCTGATAACGATTAAAAACGGAGTTCACTCTTGATCTCGAACGGGCGATTTTGAATGTAAGCTAATTGACCTGTTACCACCAACACACTCAAGATAGGGGTAAAGATAACTTAATTTATACTCTTACCCCGTGCATAGTTGCTATATACTTTCGAACTTCTCTGAGTACGTACATCTCATCAATCGATATATATATTTCACTCTTCCATGGTTTTTCGAGAGCGCGCGTCAAAAAAATTAAAATAACTGTCTAACGAACAACATTGGACCCCAAAACTAACACGTTGCCAACTCTTGAGCTTGTCCGCTTCGAAGTTTCATATAATAAACACCACGCGCAAATTATGAACGGCAAAACAGTACGAAAAAATAGCATTTCTAACTCTAAGTTCGATGAAAAAAAAAATAATAAAACGGTAGAGTCTTCAACTCCGTTGCGTTCTTCCCGGTCTTTGTGTTAAGCTACCAGAAACTTTGTGTTTTGATAAGATATTCATCGGTAAAGTTCTAAGAGCGAAAGGGGGTAGACGAGAGAAGAAATAGAAGAAAGGGTGTCTTCTACGCATGTCTAAAATTTTATTTATCCCACGTGCCCCAGAGTTTTGTTTGACTACTTGAACGTTTCCTGTCTATGATTTGTGTTCTGGGGATTTCCCCTTATCCTAGAAGCCTTTCCTGTAAGCCCTGTCAGGAGCCAATGCTGTTATTAAAAAATTGGGCCCTAACATCTTCATCCATAATAGAACTCACATTGAGGCGAGAGCAGAGGTTTCGTAGTTTCGGCAACAAAACCGCCGATTGAATTCTTAAGGAAGAGACTAAAATCAGTTGTACAGTTACTTTACAGTTCGTTTCTTATGCCCACCCTATGTCAGCCTCGAGCAGAACGGTTACCTCAGATGAACTGGGTTTATCATCATCACACCAAATTCAACCAAGGTTTAAAGGATCTAACGAGTACTTTGATCCACCGTTGGAAGGAAAACATGAATGTCCTATCTGTCAAAAGAGACTGAGAGAGCCAGTGCAGACAAGCTGTGGTCACAGATTTTGTCGTCGCTGTATTGTTAGCTCTATTGGGTTAGCGAAAATATTTTCGGAAAATTTTAGGGGTCAAGTTCCATAACACTATGAAGTTTTATCGAAAAAAAATTTAAAGTAGAAAGTCTGTAAACGATTTTAAAACGTTATTAAATCATCTAATTTAACTATACGCCTTAAATATATTTGAGTTTCACAGCGATTTATTTAAAAACTACGTAGAGATAGCTGCGCGAAATGGCAATCGTGGTTTGGTTGATGCATTCTGGATCGACGGCACCGACATGACTACGAATTTGCCTCTTGGTTTGCTTCTTATCTGTATTTTTAGTATAAGAATAAAGACGAGAGATCCTGGAACCATAGTTAGTAGAGGGGACTGGTTATGAAACCCGGTAAACAATAGAGACCGATGTCTTTGTTATGGTTTCCCTTAGTCACGTGATGTTGACCGTGCACATGGAAAATCAACATGGAGATCGGAGTGACGTGAATGTGCAGAGACTCACGCTGTATTTCGCTAGATTTTTAGCTTAGATTAATCTCGATTCGATAAGTGTTATAGCTACACTACTCATTAATCGTCATGCCTGGAGATAACTGCGCTATGTTTGGCTGTGGGAGTTGTAGAAGAACGAAAGGGATCGGTCTTTGGAAGCTGCCTGCAGCGAAGGACGAGGCAGTGTTCCTCCATGCACAGCAGCAACTGCAAAACTCTGCGAAATGATCGATGGCTTCTTTGATTGTCTCAATGTGAGAAGCATGACAGAGCATCAGAGAAAGCGCAAACCAGTAATTGATGACTTTTCTTTTATTTGCTAGATTTGCATGGTTGATGGAGTTCCTACACTATCTGAGGACTTGGAAAGAGAATGCTGTCAACAGACCGGGTAACTTCACCCAGAATGCCAGAAACCGAATGTTTCTCTCATGGCAGACATATGAGAGCTTCTACATATCTGTACATTCTGCTGTCGAGGAGACAAAATTTTTGCTCCAGGAAGGGTTTGAATTTGCCCTCACAGAACGGTTCTGCCAGGATCCATTAGAGGAGTACTTCGGGGGCCAGTGGAAACTGGGTAGACGCAGTGACAACCCTGATATAAAAGCATTTGGGTATAACAGTAACACACTAAGAATGCAGAGAACAGTGTCCTGTCAGGATGGCGACACAAGAGGCCGAAAGGACAAGACACGAGCCTGGGAACAAGTTACTGATGTTAAGTTACCACGTAGAAAAAAACTGAAAATGTAGTTAAGGAGAAAGCTGGGATGCAATATCTTAGCGGTTATGTTCTGCACAACTTACACAAAAAACATGGACGAACTAACTCAGTGGAGAGCCAAAAAGCTATGGCAGTACTGAAAGCTAGGAAACTGGAGAGCATAACTGACGCTAGCCAGAAACTTGTGTCAGCTTTGAATCGTGGGGGACTTTGGTCAATCACTCAGCCTGCACAGCAAATATTTTTTTTAGTAAAAACAGAATGTCATTTTAGACTATTCACATCAAAGCCTGATTTGCAAAGATTGGATATTTCCAGCATCACTAACAAAGCAACCAGTGATAGTCACATCCTTGCTAACTACAATTTGATGATATCAGATGCCGAACTTGAGCCAGACAGTCATGTTTGTAAGGATGTCTTTCGTGGGATTGTTAGTCTGTATGTACATGTACACTGGTTCTCTTTTGCCAAGGATGTCATTCAGCATTACAAGATCAAGGCAACCCAAACCAAAGCAAGGGCTTTACGCAAGGAAATTAGTAAAAGTTGTCAAGGTGATGACCAACAAAGGCAGGAATAGGAGTGATAATTCACATTATTTTTTGATTTCTTAATTAGTACCTTATGATCAGTACCACCATTTGCAGTGAGGACAATAAATGTAATGTTAACTCTGAACTTTTTTAAACTTTGATTCAGGTTTGGTAAAACAATGAAAATCATTCAAGTTACCAGTGATATAGATTATAAGAACGTGGGAATGGATCTTTAATAAATCATATTCTTGTTTTATATGCTCCCAATATAATCAAACTTTTATACCCTTTCTGTCATTGTTATGTGAACATGCACTAAAAAATCTTCATCAGTTGACATGAGTTAATTGTATCTATAATACAAAATGTACACTTATGCTATGTGATTAATCTCCTCAATGATGAATTGACTTAATTGACTGACAACACAGTTTTTATATTATGACTGCTTTCAGTAGAGTGTTTTTGTTGCTTAGAGTATGCCAGCAAACAGTCAGCATCTTTGGTTGCAAGTAGTGTTGCTGCATTCCAAGAAAGTCCACTGAAGAATTGGGTTGACTTTACAGCAACTGTTGCATAATATTTGCCATAAACTTTTCTGCATCTCCATTTCTTGTATATCCTTCATAGATTGCTTTTATAGCAGAGAATTCTTTGCTGTCTTCTTGTAGCTGTTGGTATGAGTAATTGCTGAGCTCCATCCTGAAATTTTCTGCAAAAAATTTCCTTTCCTTAACATTGCGGACAGCACGGTCAATTATTTCTACAAGAACGCTCGGGCTCAACTGTTGCACCTGCTCCAATCCTTCCTGTTGATTGTTGTGTTTTGCAGCCCCGTGTCTGTCACAACTTCCTCTTATTTTGTATTTCTTTCCGCAGTCATGACAAAAAAATTTCTTGACGCTGAGCCTACAAAGATATTACAAACATCACCATTGTAAAATAAATAAACTACTTAAGAGTTTAAAAATAAAAATTCAGTGGTCACCTTTTTCGATCAAGAGAGTATCGTGAGGTCGCGAAGCTCTATCGATTACAAGGTTTACCACTTAAAATAATTTCGACAAATCACTCAATTCAGGAGATTTGAGCTCCTTAGAAGCTTTTTATAAGTCTTCCTTGTTTCGCAGGAGCCCGAAGGAAGATTGCCTTTGAAGAAACGGCAATATATAAGCATGGTTTATACGCGAACGTTTGTTGAATTTCGTTTGTACACGCGTCGAGTAGCCCATCTGTGGCAGATTTAAGCTCAGTAGTGCAAAATTACAACTCGAAATTGCAACGTTTTCAACTTACATTTCTAACTGCGACGGAAAATTGTTCCTCTACTTCGTCATCGTCTTCCAAAATACCCAAGATCGCCTCAAAATCTTCTCACCACACAAA